CCAACATACTCAATGTCACGTCAGTTCGATACTGTTCTTATTGGCCCTCACATCTTACCTATAAATATGAAGATTCATGCACTATTAAGGTAAGTTCATCCCACTTCATTTCTCTCCTTTCTATTTTATTTTCAATCTTAATCTTTTTAACTTGCGTGTTATAGTGCAATTATAGGGAACACATTCTGCCTTTGCCTCTAATTATCATTTTCTTCTCCTTAGCTTTTTTAGGAACATCCCTAATTTGGAACTCAACACCAACAAAAAAGTTTCTTATATTGCTAAGAAGCATCCTTAAAGGTAACTTGAGATCCATGAGTTTAGTTCCATGAGTTTAGTTGTGAGGTTAAGAAAGTTGAATATCAAAAAAAAAAAAGTTTAATGTTATGTGATCTAATAAGCTAGACACTCGTCTATATAGTACCTATATTATTAATAATATGATAAGCAACATCTCACTGTAATCGAGATTTTAAAGATAGAACTTATATTATTAAGCTTTTGAGATGATGAACCCTAAACTCATTATAATGATATTTTTAACCTCCCATGTCACTGTCTCTTCCACAATTAACCCAATAAATTAACAATTGATGGAGAGGTGATAGGCTTGCCTTTTTTTTAGCTCTTTGGCTTCGGTGAAGGCATATAATCGGCAAGGGACAAATATTTTTTCATAGCTTTTTTTTTTCCCCCCTTTTGCCTTCCAAATAAGTAAATACTAGCCGAAACAAAAATACCCCTCCTACCATGTATGTATGTCTAAGTATTATATATAAAAATAAAACATAATTTTGATATGATTAATTAAATAAAATAAAAAAGAAATTCTGGCCAAAAAAGTTAAATAAAAAGAAATGTGGAATTGTTACTATAATCAAAGAAATAAATTCATTGAAACGCATAATGCCTAATACCAATATTAAATAACTCTGGGCTAGTGAGTCTTTCCTCCTTTGTTAAGCCCAACCCATTAATAGAGAACCCGTTAAAAAATAGTGATACAAATATAAGTAAATATGCACGTCTGTTTTTTTTTTTTTTTTTTTTTTTTTTCAGTTTTTTGTACAAATGAGTGGAAAGTATACTAGTAATATTAAAAGCTTTTCCATGCCCCTAACATGTTTTGTTTTTCTATTTTTAATTTTTTATGAGCTGGTCAACTTCAATAAGAAGAATATCGATCGCACGGTTAATTTTCAAAAATCCAATTAAATTTGATAATTTGTGTCATTGTATCATATAAAATATTTTATACATATCATAATTTATATAAATATTATGTATCATAATTTATATTAATACAAAAATATAAAATATAAAATATAATTTTTTTATTTTTATTAAATTTATTTATATATTTTTTAATCGTGTTATTTTTATATTTTTTATTCATATAAGTACTTCAAGTTATTTAGATTTAAGCTCAACCAACCACATAATTTTGTATAAAAATTTGCTTTTTATAGATATGATGAATTTTGCAATCCTAATTTCTCTTAATCAAATTGTATCCTAAAGTTTACATCGAATGTTTATTTTTAGATTTTTTTTAGAGGTTTATTCTCTCATGATTGAGGTTTCATCTTTAATATTTGTAATTTTTTTTCAATATTTTCTTGTACTTTGAGTTATCTTGTAAAAAAAAAAAAAGGAATTTCATCTATAGTTTGAATGTTTTTATTTTGATTTTTTAATATTTAAATTGTTTAATATAAATCATTTTTTTAAATGTATCATGGTGGTCATTTTATCAATTTGTTATGTTAAATTGATGTAACATCTATGTTAATGATTACATAACAAGTTAAGTAATTGTGAAACCTAATAGTTAGATAAATAAATTTTTATCTTCAGCTCTTTTCATCTTCTTATTAAGTAAAGTTTAAGAAATTAAAAATTTAAATGAAATAATTCAAAGACTAAAGTAGAACTGAAATAAAAAAAAAAAAAAAAAACTAGACACCATAGATGAAATTTAACCAATACACATTTTCTCTAATTTTTTTCAATTCCAAATATAAGATTAATTCCATGTAAAATTTGTATACAATGTTTATAATATAATAATATATAATAATGAAGTGATAACAAAGTTTGATATATTTTCTCATATAAAGTTTACTTTATTAAAATTTCAATTATTCATTAAATATATTTATTATAACATATATAAATATAAAAAAATGCGAAAAATTCATTTGATATATTCAAATTAAACATCCATTTCTCATAAAATATCCCAAGCCAGGATTTTTCTCCTCCGGTATTACTTTTCAATGGAAAAACTCCCTGACCTAACCCTCTCCCACAACGTCCTGTCACGACTCCCTCTCGTCTCCCTCTTCAACTGTAAGCAAGTATGCAAAACTTGGTATGCTTTGGTGACGCACCCGAGTCTACCTTACTTGCACATGCTTACCTGTATCTCATTACAATCCATGCCTTACAACAGGTGGAGTCGGGAATGATTTTTTTCATTTTAAATCTGATTCAATATTAAAATATTTTTTTATATTTGAATTTGATTTGATTTTATATGTTTAAATTCACAATTAATTTAATCTGAAATTAATAAAATATTATTTTAATATAAAATATTATTTTTAGATATAAATATAAAATTAAATTATAATAAATAATAATATATATATATATATATCAGATCTGAATAAAGAGAGACGAATTTGCATAAAATTTAACATTCCAACTTTCCTTTAAAAATACCCAATTTTCAAAAATAAAAAAATCAACTCTATAAGAACAGGTGGAATCGAACCCATTGGGTATAAGTTGGATTGCCATCCTTAGTCTTATCCTCCACTCTGCTCGTTCCAATGGTGATCAACTTTATCTCGTCGACAATTAATTTCACCTATGTCGATGACGATCTCCGAAGCTATTAAAAGCCTAGTAAAAGAAACCAACCTGCCTCTAGATGATCGTAAGTTTACTTTTGTGCTACACTGCGATGGTTTCTTGTGCTTATCCTACATGGAAGTCGCTAATTTATGCGAGTATAGTAAATTTTGTGTCTATAATCTTTCACAGGAGAGTTGACAGAGTTGCCTCCTAGGCCTCTGACACCTGAGCTTAAGGTGGTTTCAGGGTTTGGATTTCATCCAACGGGTAAAGAGCGCAAGGTGGTGAAAATAGTGGAACATGAATGTGTTTAAGTATCATTCTAGGATGCGCAATTGTGAATTCTATTTGAAACAAAGTATTGAGGTTTTTACTCTAGGTTCATCTTTTTGGAGGGTTAAAAGGAAACAATCCCTTCCAAATTCGAATACAATCTTGTGAAGTTTTGGCTAATGGAGCTGTTCATTGGTTAGGCCGAGCTAAGGTTACTGAATCACAAATTATTGTTTCCCTTAACCTGATGCAAGAAGAGTTCTGACAGATTTCGTTGCCAAATATCAGAATTGGTGGACCAGAAAACACCCGGTTTTCAGCCTTAGGCGGTTGCCTTTCTGTGGTTTCTAGGAGGGGGAAGAGCAAGGTTGATGGATGGTTAATGAAAGATTATAGCATAAAGGAGTCTTGGACCAAGGAGTTAACTATTGATCCTGAATTTTCACTGCTTGATTCTGACCAATGGAAAGACGTTGGCAGAATATGAGAATCGGGCCCTGTTTGCTTATGACAGATATAGTAAGAAGATCAGGAAAACACATGTAGGAAACATCCCCAGATCATACCAAGTAGTTCCTCATATCTAGATATGCTCTATTCTATAACAAGTATTTTATGTTGCAATGATCTATTCATGGTTGATCCATTGAAATTTGAGCATAGAGCAAACCAGTTGCATTGAATATTAGGCATCAGAATACATTTGTTTAATTTGATTTACGATCCATTGCACTGAAGCTTTATTCCCGACATATTTGTTCTTGATAATTTTGAACTTCCAGGGGTACTGAATGTTCCGCAATTTTTTTTCTTTCTGGTACAAAATGTTTCACAATTGTTAAATCGTAAGAATTTTGGTACAAAACAAGCTAGGCCCACTCCTACTGGGCCTCGAAGAGTTGCAAACAAATTACTAATTCTTGTATCAATGCATGGAAATATGAACCCGAATCCTACATCTCGAAATGTCGAATTTTGATTCGACAAAAGCAACATCAAACATTTGAATTTCAACTGAATTGAAACAATTCGAATTTTAAAAAAATTCTCAACTCGAAAAATATATTAAAATGATTATATTTTTATAAAATTTTTTTTAAAATGACATAAAAATTTTAAAATAATTTAAATCCTTATTTATCACCTCTGGCGGTGAGATGGGCTGTTTGGACATCTTACTGTATTTGAACTATTGCAATTCTTTAGAAATGGTCTTGAACACAACTTAAAAATGTTAGCCTGATGTCATGTGATGGAGACAGAAAATGGAACTGTCTGTGATTGAAGAAATGGCTGCTTTGATAAAGTTAACACCACCTGTCTCAGTTTGGGTTAAGGTTAATTAAAAAACTGGATATATGATGATCAGCAACTTAATAATTTAATATTGGCTATATAAAAACTACTATTTTTTATCTAAAATCTAAGGTATGTGACCATCAAGAAAAAATTGTTAATCAATTTACGTCTTTCATCTTTTAGAGTTTTTTATTAAAAATTAACCACTTGGTATGTATGTATGTATATATATAATATATATATATATATATATGAATGATGGATCATTTGATGAATGTAAATTTGGTTATTTAGATATATTTGCCTGCAATGTCATGCAAATGTAAAAGTCTCTTTTAACATAGTAGAAGAAAAGGGGGGAAAATGCATTCTAAAATTCTCATGAAGTCTTCGAGTTGGCAGAAATGTGAAGGAGAGTAGGAAGGAGATCAAATCATACCATTGAACCAGCCGGTTTTATTATATATGAAGGATCGAGATTCATCACCAACTGCAAACACACTGTATCATGTGATCAGAGACCACATTTCATACTAAAGTTGAAGTGCTTAAGGCTAGAAACAATGTATCATGTGAAAATATTTTTATATATCAAAATCAGTAATTGGAAGAAATTGGACAGAGGACAAATGTTAAAACAAAAGGACTGTGATTTATTATTACGATAAAGACAACATGCATACTTCTAACAAACACACAAGCAAATTAATAAATTTAAGCAACCTGCTTGAGACCAAGAACTATCCCTTAACAGAGAACAGATGACCATAAAAATCCCCCCAATGCAACTTGAAGCATCTCTAACTCTCTGCCATATATGCCAATGTATGTTAATTAAGCCACTTGGCAAGTTATCATTGGTGGGTCATTTCCATTCCTTGGCCCCAGGCCTCATCCATCTTACGACATCCTTATTGAAATACATAGAAACTAATTGACTTGACATGCAAACTTAGCAAACAATAGCCACTAGACAGACTTCCATTGATCCGCATCTCACAAGCTTATTACTCAGTCTTCTCAGCTGGAGCTTCTGTTTCAACCTTCTCCTCAGCTTCAGCTGGTTTTTCTTCTTCCTTAGTAACTTCCTCTTTGGGTGCTTCAATTGGGGCTTCTGCTTCTGGTTCTGCTTGATCTGCTGCTGCCTCACTAGACTCTGTAGTTTCTTTGGTTTCTTCAACAGTTTCCTCAGTGGTCTCTTTGCTGTCCTCGACCTCTGGCTCTGGTACTGTTTCCTTAGGAGTCACCTCTTCTTTTTTCTCAACTTCTGGCTCCTCGGTGACAACCTTGACCTCTTCGACCGTCTCCTTTGCTTCAACTTCAACTGAGGCTTCGGGTTCTGGAGCCACGGGTTCTTCAGATGCTGCTGCAGGCTCTGCTTCCTTTGGCTCTTCAGCAACTGGTTCTGTTGCAGGAACTACAGCGACTACCTCTTCTTCTTTAGCTTCTTGAACCGTAATTGATTCTTCAGTTTTCTCCTCAGGAAGTGCAGTTTGAACTGATACAACCTACAGAACACATCAAATAAGAAAAAAGATATTGGTTATTAGACGATCAGAAATGTTAATTCGATACAAACTGACATGTAAATTTTGTTTTAACTAAGATTTTTAGTCTATTAATCAACCTAACTACTATATATAACTATGACAAGTGATTGTAACATATATTCAGTTCTTAGATTATATAAAAGTTAAATCAAGTTTCTAAAAGATGAAAATCTAAAAGAAAGCTCAGCATGAAAAGGGATTTCGATAACGAATGTCAAGATCATGATCGTTTGATTTGATCTTCAAATTCAGATTTCTAATTACCTCCATCTATAAAACAAGATCAGGTGACAAATGGTATAAAACTAGGTGCAAAGAACAGATAATGAACACAAAGGAATTGATAAACCAAGCTCAAAAAAAGAACTCAATAAAAATTCAATACCTCTGCAGTAGCCATAAGAATCCCTAGGAAATGTAATTAGAACTAAAAAGAAATTTGGAAGGAACAGGCCAAAAACTAAAGAGGTAAGAAGAGAGAGAATGCTTTGTGTTTATGCAGAGATGATCAGAAGGGAGTGGCTTATATAGAGGTGTACAGGCCTAAAAGTTGATGAGAGAGGGGGGTGGTGGGTGCAATTGAATAATCGTGGGATTTTACTCCTCATCTCACTGACGACAAGGTAATTAGCATGTTTGGCAATAATGATATTATAAACTTTAAAGTCTGTCTTAGAGATGGGGTTATGCGATATTTAATTCACACTTGTTAACTTTTGACTGAGAGGCCAAATAATGGAAGCCATTTTCAACCAAGCTTTGTGCAGTCGCGCTTGGAGGTGACCTGAATATCATCCTTTAATGCTGACTACATAACACGTGTATTTATTTATATTTATTTTATATTAAATATATATAAAATGCAAAAATTATTACTTTATAATTCATATCAATAAATATGATACATAATTTTTTATTTTTATTAAATTTACATATAATTTTTATCAAAATTTTAAATCATATTATTTTTTATTTTTTTCATATAATTTTTATATCATATCATAATTCGCATCAATAAATATATAACATAATTTTTTATCTTTACCAAATTTACATAAAATATTTATTAAAATTTTAAATTATATTAATTATATATTTTTTATATTATTTTAATATCATGTCACATAAGTATTTACAAAATGCGAGTCTTTTTTCATGTTCCAATTTCCCCCCACCCCACATTCCAGCGCTTTACTATTCATTTACCTTCTTTTAACTGTGGCATTAGCAATTTCAACTTACTTTTATTACTTTAAATATCTTATAAACTGATTCCTTTAAACTTTTGTCTTTGTTTTTGTGTTTTTGATAGAACAAATTTTCTTAACTATAAAAAGAATATCAATGAATCCAAGATAAACGAGTTTAACAACAAGCTGTTCAATGATATATTAATAACCTTGGAGTAAGCCATCTAAAAATCAGTCACAACAAGGTAAATATCAAGTGCTTTTTTATTTGTGTGTACTGAATTTCTAATTTTATAATCTTTTCATTTTTAGAAAAAAAAAAAGGTCGGTTATTTAATACTAATAGTTTAGTGAAGCAAGTGATCAATAGAGGTAGCTCAGCCGATTTGGAAAGTTTGGCCGACCCTGCTATATAAAACACAAAGATGCAACCAATGGGTATAATTTACGTGAAAGAAACGACTGAAATTCTGATGTGGCAGGTTACATGGACCATGACTTTGTGCCTACTTTTTTGATTAAAAGTGGAAACTTTCCATCTCACAGGAAGGCGATGGGCCCCTGTTGGGACACACCCCGGATGGTGACATTCGTACTACTGTGGAGTCATGTGCGGACTAGGTTTTCGATACCCTTGGCTGAGTTTGAATCTGCTTCCTCATTCCCGACTTCTAATGGAAAGGCTAATTGCATTATTTAATATTCGAATTAAAATTAAATTTTTATTTTGGTTTTTAAATTAAAAAAACCATAATTAAATATTTAGTTTTAAATTTTGTTTATGTTCATCAATTTGCACGCATGACTGGAATTATGATACATGACATTTTAACATGGCATTTTAAGATATTTGACATTTATACCATTATATTATAAAGTTACTAGCACAAGATAAATTATAATTTTATTCAAATAATGCATATAAGAAATCAATTAATTACATTAGATAAATAAAATCAATGAATGAATCTGGATAAATTTAAATATAAAATTAAATCAAATTTATACATGATAAAATTTAATCATAAAAACCTCAAGCTTCCATTTTTTTTTTTTTTGCCACTAAATCAAAGATTTTGTGGACATCTATACTGTTATGTTAAAATTTAGTACCTTCTCTTCAATTAAAACTCAAATTAAACCTCAATTAGCTAACATTTGGCTGCAAGTTTTATTTTAATTCGGAATTAATATAGTTAGTTTATTTAATTACTTTTAAGATGAAATATTTAATAAATTTAAAATTTTAATCTCAATATTTATAAATTTATATTTTCAAATTATGACTTTTTTATAAAATTTTTTTTTTCTATTGCATCCTAGACAGAAAAAGGGAAAGAGAGAAAAGTTTATATGGTTCAAAGTGTTCATGCCCAATAAAAGGTATATTTTCATTTGAAAGATATAATCGGTCATAATTCGGATGTGTATAATACTAGTTTAATAGGATTAATAATTTTATTATTGATATATATATAATATTCTTTTTATCTCTTTTTTTATCTATTTTTTTTAAATATCCAAAATTAAATCCTATTTATTTAACATCTAAAACTCTTATTTTTATATTTTAAAATTATTTTTTTATAATTTTTTACTATTTGATATTAAAAATAATAAAAGTTTAATTTTATAAAAAAATTAAAATATAATATTAAATAAATTAAAGTAATTTTTTAAATTTCATGAAAATTAATAACACCTAAACAATTTAGAATGGAGGGAATAATAAATAACAAGGCTTTGAGTCTAACTATTACTATACAAATTATCATAAATAAAAATGATAGTATGAATTTCTTTTTCACTTTATTGGTGCATTGTTTAAGAAATATTTAAGTTTCATTTAAATAATCTTTAAAATACTCAAATAAAATTATTATTTAATTAAATGTTATCTCTTCGTATGAACTTGAAAAATAAATAATTTATAATCTTAATTATTATATTTGTAAATTATAATTTACAATTTAATTATCTCATTGATAATTTATTTAAGTGAAAAATCTTAGTTGATATATTAATGTCAAAGCTTAAAAATGTTAACATTAATTTCATATTAACATTGCTTGAAATATGTTTTTAACATGCAAGTTGAGTCTTGAATTATTGACACTTTCATTATTATATTTATAATAATTTTTTTCTCAAACACACCATTATAAGTAATAAATTTGATTATGTAATTTATATTATATCAATGGATGTTGAAATTTGCAACAAATATAAAATTAAAAATTTGAGTTTTTTACAAATTTCATTTAAAAAAACTAAACTCGCAGACTTGAGCTTGTCTCTATTTTTTATTAATTATGTTTGGGCATGTTTTCCATTTGATTAAAAATGTTAATATCGTATGCAAATTGGTGAATGAAAATAAAATTAAATACTTAATTAAGAATTTTTAAATCTCATAGAATCAAAATTTTAATTGCTATAATTTTTATATTTCGATATCAAATATATAATTACCCCATTGCGACTTGTAGGTGTACGAGACTCAAAAGCTTGGGTGGGCACTTAAGTAGGCATGGCTCCTAGCTTTCATTTACCATGCACATCCCCCTATCACGGATGGCTGGTTACTAGGTTTGAGGTTTTAACCCCCAGCGATTGTTGAAAAGCAAAGTGTTTATGATCAATTTGATTTGATTAATAGATACTCTTTCTGTCTATTTTTTAATTATTTTTTTAGGATATGTCAAAATTATATATTTTTTAAATATTTAAAATTTTTATTTTGTATATTTTAAAATTATATTTTAATTTTTTTATTTTCTGATATTAAAAATTATGTAACTTTAATTTTATAAAAAAATTTAAAATTTAATATTAAAGTTATTAAAATCAATATTTTTTAAAAAAATTTCGTAAAAATCAATATATGACAAATATTTTGAGATGAAGGGAATATTTATAGACACCATTAAAAATTTATTAAAATATTATTTCAAAAAAATATATTTAATTTTTAATGCACCACTTTCTCTAAATTTAATAACAAATTATAAATTAATTATAAAATTTTCCTTAAATATTACTTTAATTAGTGTTTTTAGATACTGATTAACATTTTTTTTTTTTTTTATCTATTATGCACTTTAAAATGTTGCCTAGAAAATGAAAGTGCTAATTAGTTGAAGGTACATGTAGCCTTTTTTCTAATGAAATACATTTTGATTCTTCTATAACTAGAGAATGTATGAATATATAAATTCAATATTTTAATAACAGAACATGACTAAATTTCTCAAACCATGTTGCTCTATCCTTTTTATTTTATTTTTAAAATATTCGACATTTGATACTTATATCACGTACTAATAATAAATTTTAAGACAGATATCTAATCTAAAATAAATTGATAATAGATAAAGTAATTTTGTTATATTTATGTATCGAATATATTTCCAATTTAGCATATGTAAGATTATTTTTATGATCACTGCAACACTTCCCTCTGGTGTAGAAACGATGAACCTATTATATGGCATATACCGTATATGTAGGAATAGTGTTATATCACGAGAGGAAATAATGAATGAGACAAAACTATGATCTAATAATCATGTTAAATTTTAAGACTAATCAATTCTATTTAAACATAATAATTTATGTGTTTTAAATATATTTATTTCATATCAAATATATATAAAATAAAAAAAATTTATTATATCATCATTTATATCGATATATCATATATAAAATATATTATTTTTATTTTTATTAAATTTATATACGATTTTTATCAATTTTAAATTATATTAATTTAATTTAAATTTTATATTATTTTCATATCTGTTTTAAAATCATCAAATCTAATCCTAATATCAATATAACAATGGATAGAATAAATTTTATTATATTTAGATGCTCAAAATACTCTTAATTTTTTAATTTAATAAATATAAAATTATTTTTATCGCCTTTCTAATAAGTCATAATTTTGAATCATATACATACATTTATCAGACACTTGCCACCGAAACAAAGCAACATAGCTTCAAGTTAGACTGAATCGCTTACCAAGAAATAACATAGTTCTAACAATCTCCCAAACTGTAAATTTTGACCAAAAATAACATCACTTACTGAAGTAAAAGCCAACGCTTCGATCATTTCAGTCTGGATTATTCTTGGCATGTTGTGGATCCCTAAAGCAACAAGATTGCTAACTGAAAACTTTGTACGCTAGCAGGCACCTGATAGTGCCTCGAGATTCGTAAAGTGGTCCCTGCCTCTGCCTCAGCTCTCGTGTATATACCTCCTATAAGCTACGATGCCTCATTTCTCTTCAGAATCCAAAAACCGAAAACAAATCATCTTTTCGGCGTTTCCTCCTTCGGCTTCTCTGCAAATTTGGCCCATTCCGTATTTTGGCTAATTTCTACGTGGGCGGTGGCGGCCCCCACCAAAATGGAGCCCACGTGGGACAATGCCGGCAACCAGTCATAAAAATCACCGACCACCACGTGGTATGATGTTAATCCGGTACCGTCGATGTCATTATTTTGGATTTAATTGGGTGATTTTTGTGGGGTAGTGGGCCCCGAAGGCATGCAGGCATGATGAATCCGTTGACCGGTTGGATGGATCGAAAGGGCCTTTAGGTTGGGTGTATGATGAGTGAGCTTCTCTTGGGATTAACCCCTTCTTTGTTCAACGCCATGCATGATTATTTTCAGGGTAATTTCTTCATGGTGTTACCTATTTACCTTAGTAACATGTTACAATGATTTTATTATCTTTATATATATAAATTTTTATTATTTTATACGTAGTTTTTTTAATATTTCAATTAATCAAAATATCTTTTTTACAATAATAACAAATAATTAAATTTTTTATCATACTTTTAAACATACCTTTTTTAACTTAAACTTTTTTTAATTGCTACAATAATATTAAACTAGGCTTAGGGCCATAACTCCGGTGTGGTGAGATTTAACCTTCAAATGAGAGAAGTCAATTGGACTAATCGTCTGTTTGGATATAAAATTTCGACGCGGTAATAACAACTCTTGTCATCCCAAGCTCCAGTTGTTCATCGAAGGGAGAAGCCTCTAGTGACTAACTAGAGTTGGTTATTTTCCTCTTTTACCCTTAGATCCAAACAACTTACGTCAAAACTTGGAAAAAAAAATCTCAGCTCCTTTTCACTGTCGTGAAAAACTTTTGGATTGAGAATGTCTCCTTTTTCATTTCTTTATTATTTTTTATTATTTAAAAATTTTAAAATAATTTTATTATTATTTTATTTAATATAACTATTATATAATAAATTAATAAATAACAAAATTTATTATTGTATAAAAAACAAATAAATTCCCATTTTATTAAATTTTATAAAAGTTAAATAAGTAATAAATTTTATAAATATTAAATAATTAAAATTTTTATTAAATTTTCATTTTAATTAAATACTCTTAATGCCTTTTTTTTTTCTTATTACAATTTATTTTATTGTCATATTTGCATTTAAATACATATTCTCATAACTGATATAATTTTAAATATTACGGTAATTAATTTCGCTTTCATTAATATTTTCAATCTTATCGAATTTAATTTCATTGTTCATCTAAATGAACCCTTAATATTTAATTATAAAACAAAATAACTTATATCTTTATAAAAAAAGGTAGCGAAGCACTGTAAATTTGACTCTGATCTAAAGTTTGTAGAGCTCCGTACATGTGTAGATCATGAACAAATAAGGTCCTATCTTATTGTTATTGTTGCCACTTTATTCTTTTTTTTTAGTAAGCAAAGGATTATTAATTATTAGTATATATATATGGTAAAGTAAACCTGGCAAATAATGCCCAAAGAAAGAGGTTGTAGAATTCCAATAAGATATATTTAGTTAACTAAGGTGAAAAGAATTTCTGTTTTTGTTTTACTTAAACTTCAGTTTGGGGTTAAAAGTTTTAGATTTGTTTATTATTATAGTGTCTAACCAAACCACAATTATTATTAAGTAAAATTAAAGTACAATGAATATGCATATCACAACTCCCAATTACTAGTATATTCGTTCTTTTATGGCTGGCTTGGTTCTTTTACAAGTCTTAAGGATTAAGTTGAAACAGCTTGATTAATCATCAGAACCTGAAAGTGGAAATGCAATGCTCGTTATTTGGGCTGTTGGGTTGGGTGGTTTTTGTCTAAATCCAATCCAATCTATAAAGAGCACTCAAAGCCCATATTTCCAAACTCACTCAAATATGGAGTAAACTTTGCCATTGGCCCCAACCGAAACCAAGAATTCCACTAGCTCCCTCGACTAGTCTAATGCCAAATGCATGAGCCAAGAGTCAAAAAGCACAACAGCTAAAGTACTGCAGCAACACCCCCACAATTCAGGCTGTCTTTCTCTGATATTCTCACCTTAAATCACGCTCTTCCCTCAATGGCTAATAACTAATACAAACAAATAAATAATTCTCCATTTTTGTTTTTGTTAGTAGTGTCCTTCACGTTCTTTCTCCCTTTCTCTTAATTTTGTTACTACTAGGAATAGCAGTATATTTCGGATCACCGCATGACCATTTCCGCCCATTCAAGTTTCAACAAGCAAGTAACAACCAAAGACCAAGACCATATCCAAAAACTACCTTACTCCCTTTTCGGCTTTTCCTCCCTCGTGCATTTGAGTTTTTCAACAAACCAGCTAGCCCACCCAACAAAGCTAGCAGACAAGGACCAATCCTAGTTTCTTTTTTGTCGTTTGCCCTCTTGCTTTCTGACTCTTTCTGTCTTTTGCGTTAGCCTCAGACAATCCTTACCTTTAAATTCCGTATATTGTTTTCTAGTCGACATTTCTGTTTGTTTGGGGAAGGGTCAAAACTTGATTTTGGTTCTGCTTCTTCTCCATTGTTGGGGAGTTGATGTCTTTGGCCGTTGGAGCTGTACCAAGTTTCAGTAATATGGGGTTTGACGACAACACGGACAAGGAGGAAGCTGAAGACAAGAATGCGACTCTTGAAGAAAAGGCAACTCATCCTCAAGAGAGTGATGATGAAGGAGGAGACAGGATAGGCAGCAGACAGATGAGCGAATCCTCTTTGTATGCAACTGATCAGGATGATGATAACGATGACGAACAACGCAACACATTTCAATTGGGTCCGCAGTGCACGCTGAAAGAACAGCTTGAAAAAGACAAGGTTTTTCTTCAACAATATTATTCACGATCTTGTTAATTCAGATGCGTAGAATTTCTCTTTTATCATCATATGTTGGTGATCATTGCGTTGAGTGTAGGATGATAAGAGCTTAAGGAAGTGGAAAGAGCAGCTTCTTGGAAGTGTGGATATTAACCACATTGGTGGTACTAATCGTATTCTTTCACCTTTCGTTGTCAAATGTCGTTCCATATAACTCAACGGTATGTCATGTGTAACAGCCACATTCTTTATTAGTCTTCCATCGACTTCAGATATTGATAAAAAAAATATCAGATCACTTTGCAATTGTTCACATCCTATTCTTCTGGCTCTAGATAAATGGCAAATCCTTTCCCAACTGCTTCTTAATGGCTGTTCATGTGTGCTGATTTGATATTAAGCAAGATTGAATATGATTCTGCATTTTGTTTCAATTCTAATGTTAATATATATATATATATATATGAGCTAATCTGAAGAATTTGACAATGAATAAAAACCAAATAGAACCAACCTGTTCAAAATTAAAACTCTCCTATGCTGGGAGCATCAGAGTTGTCATGAAGACTTATATATGGATACTGCAAGATCTGGATTTTTGCTCCAATTGTGGAATCGCCTAAGCAAAGACGAACCACCAAAACTCACGTCAATATGGTTACTTCTCTGAGTTGAAAATTACCTGCCAGAGGATTGCTTTTGCAAGAGAAACACTTTGTTATGTAAAATAAATCACGATAGCTTAATTATTAGTCAATTCGGTACAAAACAACATTACTGATTGAATTTCTATGCATTGTTGAGAGTTATATATGTAAACCTATTAGTCCATTTAAGGAGCTATGAAGGCCTTTAATTTCCTATACAAACCCTGCATTTATTGAATATGGTTTTCTCCCTTTTATTGCAGAAACACTTGATCAAGAAGTAAAGTTCCTTAGTGTGTCAATAGTCTCTCCGGACAGGCCTGACATGGTTCTTTCAATTCCTGAAGATGGAAACCCCCAGGGCTTATGGTTTACACTGAAAGAAGGTAGCCACTATCACTTAAAGTTCTCCTTCCAAGTTGGCAACAACATTGTATCTGGCCTCAGGTACACCAATACTGTTTGGAAAACAGGTGTCAAGCGTAAGCCTCCTATATGTTTTACTTCTTGCAAAAAAAAAAAACAGTTAAAAACAATTGAAAGTCTGCCTAAAATTGAATTTTTTTTCTTTTCAGTTTTCAGCACAAAAGAAATGATTGGAACCTTTAGTCCTCAGCAAGAGCCTTATACACATGAAATGCCAGAAGAGACTGCCCCTTCTGCTTATGTGGCTAGAGGATCATATACCGCAAAATCAAAGGTTTGTTCAACTAAGTTCTATCTCTTACCTGTATGCTCTTACAAATTCTTTTACCGCATTTGGTTATATGATTGACATTCAATTCTTCCCGTGCGTGGTGGCACTAAATTTAGAGATTAATGATGACACATATGTTTAGGTTCAGCAGAAATGCCAGTTTCTTGAGATTCATTTAACTCATCATTGTTTGTTTACCTTCGGCAAGATATATGGCCCATGCTGAACTGTGTATTAATTACTTGATGTAGACATCCATTATAATGGCTTTCTTAGAAAAAGTTCCGATAGTATTTGTGTTGCATGTATAACCTCTGCATTGTACATTTCGTTGATATGCTTTCTGGTTCAAAGTCAAAATTTTAAGAGCAAGTTAACTTACTGTTTCTCTTTGTTTCAGTTTCTTGATGATAATAAGAAGTGCTACTTGGAGATCAACTATACGTTAGACATCCGAAAAGAGTGGGCTGCTCCTAATTAGGGAACAACTTTATGAGCTCTAGCACCCTTCATTCACTCCATGTTCTTATGCCACTATATATTTCCACTAAAAGCTTGTTCCCTTCAGACATGTTTAACTGCTAGTTTCCGGTTATCTCAACTATCTCATTTCTGTCTCGACTAACTACTTCCCACAACAAAGTCAAGTGAGAAAGATCTCACTTGGCAAAGCTTTAATATTAAGAGCAGAGTTAACATTTTTAGGGACATTTTGATAATGATGTCTAGATATTGTTCTTGTTCAAGACTTTTATGTGCATATATCAACAAGGAGTGAGTCAAATTAAATCTGACAATTTAAAAAATGACATAGCAACACGATACAAAAGTGATGCAAAAAAAATCAAGATGGCACAAGTTAAAATTTTAATAAAAACTATATGAGTTCACCAAAAATAAAAAATGTATTTTATATTTTTCATACTGACATGAATTATAACACATTTCATGTAAAATATGACAGAAATATATATACATGAATGGTTAGTTCTGTTTTATAGGGCACAAATAGATGAATTACCTAGTCAAAGTATGGATTTGCTTTTATCATCAAACTGCTCTAAAATCACCTAATTGTGATTTGTAAACCATGCAGATGGAAGGATTTAAAATATTAGAAAGCAGTTCAAGTAATGAGCTTGATCCTAACCATGCCTGTTTATCAAAATCTTCTAACTGCTAAAGATATAGCTGAGCATACCTCATCTGATATACAGGCATGAGAACCAAACTGTTCAACTAAGTATCAATTCTGGAATGGAACTCTAACTAACCTGATTATGTGTAAGAATTTAGAAAATGGGCATGGCCAAAGTGCTAAGTACCCTTTGTTGCGGAGCTCAGTCAACTGCCATTGAACTGAATTATAGAGGAAGCTCTTTGGCCATTCACTTGAAACAAAAACAGGAGCCCAAAACAGCTATTACAAATAGAATTGTATATATTAGTACGAAATGAGATTAATTTATTTAAATATAATTTAAATCAATAAAAAAAGTATGCATGTTGTTCTTTTATTGCATCTGAATATATAGATTTAAAATATATATATATTTTGTAGTATTAATAGAGAAAAAAAATACAAAAGACCCAGGAAAGAACGACTATAACACATTGTCGTTATGTAAAGATAAAATAATTTTTATTGCAGTTCAGTTAATTTACATTTGTCAACGGTCATAAAATATTGAACCTTTTATTCTAGTGATTAAAAATAAAATCCTGATAGTTTCAAATAAAAAAAAGTTTATATATATATATATATGTATAAACTTGTAGATGCAAAATTAGTCAAACAACAATTCCATAAAAAGCATCCTACAATAAAGCTGAAACAGTTGTCTTGAGTTAAACTATTCAACAAGAACAAACTTTTACCTATTATATTGTGCTTCAAATGAAAGATCGTTGAGAAGATATTATAGCTCTCGATGACATGCAATTAAGAAGTTTTTGAGTTTTGGCCCAATCAATCGAAAGCACTTTACTTCTCACATTGTTAAAAAGAGGGCGCCAAGTTAAGCAAAGTTTGAGAGGTCAAGACCCGAAATTTCTAAGCAAAGGATCAGCTTGAACGGGCAATGGCATCTACTGCTGCTGCTACCCTCGCTCTAGCCCAATATTGATGTTAACCTCTCAACTTCCCATCCCTTTTTAGCCTGCTGCTGGACTTGGCTTTACAGCAACTAATTATATTTTTACATTGAATGCAGTTTGAATAAAAAAAATAAAATGTCGTTTGTAAATTTAAAAATTTTTACCGATAATATACAAAATAATAATCCTTATAGTGCTATATACTTTTTTTTTGTTCCTTGTACTTCGCATGGGCAAGTGGGCAGAGTGAAGAAGAGCAAAGTTTCCTCTGGATAAATGTGGTGTATGAGGAGGATAGGAAACTAGGAGGTGGGTGCGGAAGACGAAAATTTTTATGAAATTTTTAAAATGAAATTTTTGAAAATTTTTAAAATAAATGATTTAATAAGAATTTTAATAAAAAATTTAAATTGATAAATTAATAGAATTTAATGTGAAAATTAATAATTTATAAAAAAATTATTAAAAATATAATTTATAATTTAAATTTAATTGATATTTATTTAATAATAAAAATTTTATTATATTTTTATTAAAAATGTTTATTTAAAAAAATATATAAAATTTTATTAAAATTGTTTCAAATTTTAAACATTTGAGTTATATAACGAGATTTTTTAAATTATCAATTTTGATTTTTAATTTAAAATTTTAATTAATTATTTTTAGTTAAAATCTTTACAAATTTCCTAAAAAATTTTATTTAAAACTTTTTCATGTGCCGAATGCGGATATTTGGCTTTGGATTGGATTGGAGGGTAAGAATAAAATATTATAAAAATGGTGCTATTTGTATCCTACCTTCTCCTCTTTACACCTTATCATTATTAACAATCAATTTTTCACTTAACACTACTCAAACTTATAACACAAATTTATCAAAATCCCAATCACCCCACTCTTTTCTTTTATTAACCAAAAACTTAAAAGATTTTAAAGCTCAATCAAACTAAATTCAAAAAAATTTCATCAATTTGAAGTTAAAAAAACATAAAATCAAAGACAAATCATTTATTATTTTTATTTTTTATTTAATTTTGTGTTTAATTCTATAATGTTTTATATAAAAATATTTGGATGTAATTTAAAATTTTAAAAATAAAATTTCAAAAGCTCTTAAAGATTTTCGAAAATAAATGTCCAAAAATTTTTAAAGATTTTCAAAAGTTTAAGATTTTTAAAATTAAATATTGAAAACCTTAATAAATTTTTGAAATGAAATATGAAAGATAAAAAAAAATGAATTATTAAATATTTAAATAATTTTATTAAAAATTAAAAATTTTAAGATGCATTAAAAAAAAGTTATGAAGCAAATAGCAGCACACATACTGCAATCGCCTTCTACTTGCGCCAGCAACGACCCCACAGCCAATGCTGGTTGGCTCTAATCTGACCTAGCACCCACTTTCTCCCTTTTATATGTATATATATAACACAATCGATGATTATTCAATTTGTTGGAACGTAAATATAAGTTTGAATAATTTTCTATCAGAATTCTCAATTTTGAATTTTAAAATTTGTTTCTCCAATTTTAAATTTTTTTACTTGATATGTTGATATAAAATTATTAAAAGAAATTGTAATATTCTATAACAATAAAATTTTAAATTTTACAAAAAAATTTTGTAAAATAATATATATTTTTAAATATAAATAAAAAATAATGAAAAAAATATAAATATTATAATTTTTTAATTCTATTTATAAAATTAAAAAATTTTACGATGAATGTATTAAAAATGAACTTAATGTATTCACCGTTCATTTAATTCATAGGTACATGAATTGAATCAATTTCCATCAAATTAAACTTTTAAAATAATCAATCCCTTACTTAACATAATCAAATTAAGTGGTATCATTAATTTGGTAGAGGTCATGCTTTTAAGTAACATTATAAACTTTTTATTTCTTATTTTCCACTCTTTTGAAATTTTGTTATTCGGCTTTTAATGTGCATTCAAATTAAACCGGCCAATAATGAATACCAAGTATTATGTGTGTTCGGTTGGTGACACAGAAAGGTTTTTCTTTCTTGTTTTTCTCTTTCTCACCCACTTTAGAATAGGTTGGAAAGTGGGGTCCCAATTTCACCACTGTTATTTTTACGAAGTGTTACTCTGTATATTGAAGTAAAAGATTTATTACAATTTTATAGTAACTTACCCACTTTCTTTTTTTTTTTTTTTTTTGTGTATTGCGTGTAGTAGAGCTTTAATGTTTTTCAATTTTTCAAAAAAAATTCAAATTGGATTTGAATTAGATATACTTATTTATAATTTTAATGTATTATTCATGTATAAATTATATTCATACAATGTTATTTTATTAATGAATAAATATAATTTTTAAAATAAATATATAAAAAATTAATATATTTTTTAAAAATTTATTTATTAATAAAAAATTATCATCTATTCCATTTTATTAATAAAATAATATTACTTGATTATCTGTCAATATATAAAATTTATACTCTGAATATAGATTAGGAAAGTCATAGCCTTCTTTACATGGTCCTCTTTACTTGAAAGGGTTGCCAATTGCCAAATAAGAATAGAATGCGATGTTTTTTTTCCTCTAATGACCATCCCCATCTGGCCATCTCATTCGTCCACACTGAAGAAAGAACACGTGACATTTTGGTTTGTTTTGTTTTGTTTTTTTTTTTTTGTTGTTGTTTATATCTTCCAAAAAAAAAAAAAAAATCCCACCTTTATATAGTCTGCTACATTGGTACCCAAAGCACTAAACTTTCTCTCTGAATTCCTCCTAGTCAGGTTAGTGTCCCTCATTTGTCAGCTCTCATTGTAATTTGCTTTCGTCAAAGTTCCATTCTTTGAGACTTCTAAGTTCTAATGACCCATTTTTCTTTCAAGATAAATGAGTTTTGAGTTAAATATAGATCTTTTTTAGCTTTTTGTTGATGTACATTGTGTGGCTGTGGATTTCTTTTTTTTTATTCTTGAAGAAGTTACTTGGCTTTTCTGGGAAACTTCTAGTATGAATTACCCAGCCACAAGTAAAGTTGAGTTCTAGCCATTTGTAAATTCAAGATTAAATGCAAAGAGAAAATTAGATTTTGATCGAGGTTTTTGGTCTGAAATTTGATTACTTGGGGCATTTGCTAAGTTGTACTTTATCTGGGGGAGCTCAAGAACAAGAAAATGGATTATATTTATGATTTCAGTTTGTGGTTCTTAGTCTCCACATTTCGATGTCATCCGTAATTGCATTGTCTTAGATCCTGTTTTAAGCTTTTTTGTTTTATTATAGTTAACAAATGTTCTCATTGTTTGCTATGTTGGATGAGCTAGTCAAGAACTGGGTTTTCGTTTCTTTCCATTCCTGCAGAAAGATGAAGATTTGGTTTTATTTACAATGCATTACTTGCTTTATACAGAAGATGGAACCCCGAGATTCCGTACTAGATTGTGATAGGGCTGATCTTAGGGAATTTTTTTAGTTTTTGTTAATAATATAGATTTATTGGGGTTTTCGCCGTTTGGCTGCAATGTAATTGTGAAGGATTTGGTTCTTGTAGGAATTTGGGGAGTGGTCACTACTGAAGCAAAACCAAATTTCTTGAAAAAAGAAATGGAGTTCTCCAGGATTTTTATGATTAGTTGTTATGTATTGCTCTTGTGCTCCTCCTTGACATATGGTCAAGCTGCTAGTCCTCCGGCTCCTGCTGCAATAAGCCCTACTCCAACACCAGCACCGGCACCTGCACCAGAATATGTAAACCTCGGTTATTTACTCTCGGTGGCTGGTCCATTTCACACTTTCCTTGACTACCTTGAATCCACTAAAGTCCTTGACACCTTCCAAAACCAAGCCAACAACACTGAACAAGGCGTTACAATTTTCGTACCAAAAGACAATGCCTTCAAGGCTCTTAAAAAGCCTTCTTTATCCAATCTCAGCAAAGACCAGGTTAAATCAATCATCCTTTTCCATGCCTTGCCCAAATACTATGCTCTTGCAGACTTCAATGACCTCAGTGCAAAAGGCCCCGTTAGTACACTTGCTGGTAGCCAATACACTTTGAATTTCACAGATGATTCTGGCACCGTGCACCTTGATTCAGGATGGAGCAAAACAAAAGTCACCAGCGCTGTACTCTCAACTGCTCCTGTTGCAATATATCAAGTCGATGAGGTCCTTCTTCCGGAGGCAATCTTTGGCACTGACATACCTCCAACTCCTGCTCCGGCTCCGGCTTCTCATATTATCCCAGCTGCAGATACGCCATCAGCAGAATCCAAAGAAAGTGGTTCTTCACCCAAGTCTTCGCCTTCAAATTCATCATCTCATAGGATTATGAACTTTGGCATTTGGAGTCAAAAGGTTTTGGCAGTCTTAGGTGGGATGGCCCTGTTCTTCTAATATTGGACTTCACTTGGTCTAATTCATGTTCAGGGGAGGGGCATATCTGGGATTCTCAATCTACTTTAATTTTTAAAACTTTTTTTTTTTACATTTATATGTTACTAGGGTTATGTGTTAAAGAGTGTGAGTTCTTTGTGTTACAGTTACTATTTCAATTTGAATGGCCTTGTGCCTGAATCTCTGTTTTTCTCTGGATCATTGTCATTCATGGAACTCCAACAAGATAATCCATTTGTTTCGTGAAAAATGATTTTCGTATTTTCAAAAATTTGTTTGACAGAAAATTAATTGATTAATGAAAAACAAATTAATTATCAATGAAAAATGATATCATTTTTTAAAAAATTATTTTACGAATTAAAAAAAAAAATTTTACGAAAAAGAACTGTATACGAAAATAATTATTTATTAATTCTTTGAGCATAATTCTACTTATAAATAATATTATATTATAATATATTAATAAACAGTATTATTTAATATAATATATTAATAAAAATATTAATAAATAATATATTAATAAATATTATTATAAATAAATATATGCGAATATATTAATATTAATAAATAATATTAATATTAATAAATAAATCATAATATATTAATATAATATATCAATAAATAATATTATAATATATTAATAAATAATATATAAAAAAATTATTAATTTAATTAATAAATATTACAATAATATATGAATAAATAAGATATTATTAATAAATAATATACTATTAATATAATATATTAATAAATAACATTAAGAAATAATATTATAAGATATGAATAAATAATATAAAGAATAATAAATAGTTTTATTTTAAGTATTTTTTATATTAATATTATATTTTAATATTAAATATTATTATTAAAATATAAATATTTTTTAATATTAATAATTTTAATAATAAATAATTTTAATATATTTTAATAATAAATAATTTTTAATATTTTAATAGTTATACTAATATTATTTGAAAAAAAAAACATATTTTTCAAAATATAATCAAATGAGGAAAAATATTTTTTATTAATTTATCCAAACAATAAAAATCTTTTTCAATTTAAAAAATATAAATATTTCTTAAAATTAGTTTTCAAAAGTTATTTTCTACTAAATAAACGGAACCTAAGCTCATATTGTCTTACCCTACTCAAAACTCATGCTAATATACTGATGACGACAACCAACCAAAATTATTACGCTGCAACAAATATTTTCACTAGCATGGCCACCAAATTGAGAATTAACAAATGGATCGGAGCTATCAATTTGCTTAATCTTGCACACAAAGGTTATTTATGATAACGACGAATGAAGTGGCGTTTATTTGCACAAATAGTATATCAGTCAATCAGATTGGGACTCTGGAAATAAAATAAAAAAAAGTATAATACTTTTAAAAGTTAAAGCATTAATTCAAACAACATATGATTTGTTAGTTCGGTTAGTTAAAGAATGTTAATAATAAAAAGGTCGCGAAAGTCGTAAATTTTGAACTTGTATGGCTTTATTTAAGGATAATTTGACCATTTAAAAACAAAAAAAATATAATTTAATTAAAATATGTGGTAAACTGCAGATTACACATATCCAATCAGGTAGATATAAAAAGAAAGAGCTAAAAATAGTAAGTAAATTAAGACCATATGTTACTCACGTTGCTAAAATTAGAAAGCATTCGGTTAAAAATTGGTTGGTTGTAGCTTTCCAAGTATTCTATATAAAATGGTTTGAAACAAAACAAAAGCAAAATCATTGTTCCTTCACAACAATTCACCATTTAAAAATTGAAAAGAAGAAATTCAAATACTTGGGAAAGGAAAAATATGGATGTACAATTGAGTATTACAGTCGTATCAGTATTATTGCTTTTGTTCACTTCAACTGCTAAAGCTCAATCAGGTGTTTTTGATGTAGTTGCCAAGTATGGCGCAAAGGCTGATGAGAAGACGGATTTGAGTCAGGTAAGCAAAAATACACTCAATTTTATTTTCCAACTATGAAATATATAAAATTTTATTTTAATGATATCTTTTTTTTTTTTTTTGCCTTAGCCATTGTTAGATGCTTGGAAAGAAGCATGTGCTTCCACTACTCCATCTAAAATTGTGATTCCTAAAGGGACATACTTATTAAGTAAAGCAACCCTAGAAGGTCCCTGCAAGGGTCCTATTGAGCTTCAAGTTCAGGGCACTGTGAAGGCTCCGGCTGATCCTAGCGCTTTCAAGGACCCTAACTGGGTCGTCTTTAACAAACTTGAACAATTTACAATGTCTGGTGGTGGAGTTTTTGACGGCCAAGGAGCCGCTGCTTGGGGCAAGAATGATTGTTCTAAAAACAAATATTGTGCCGCACTTCCCATTGTAAGGTTTCTTTCCTTGTGCAAGAAATCGAATTTCTTTCTAAAACTCTATTTAGATTTCCTCAAATTAAAGAAAAATATTTTTTTCTTTTGTTTTTTATAATATCACATTGAACAACTATCAAATCTAAATGCTTTTATTATAGATGAGGAGTACTCAATGAATAATTAAGTTTTTTATGTACAACGTTCTGCTTCCTAGTTTTTAAATATAATATGTTTTACCCATTTTATTACACTAGTAGAAAGTAATGTCACTAACAAAAATTATTTCTTGTGTTACTTTATTCCACTCTCAAACTAAACAGAACTTAAGGTTCAATTTTGTGAGCAATGCCATGATACAAGATATAACAACCAAAGACAGCAAACAGTTTAACGTTAATGTTTTGGGATGCAAAAACATCACTTTCCAACATTTCACCGTCTCTGCACCAGAAAACAGTCTGAACACAGATGGAATTCACATTGGTCGATCAGATGGGGTGAATGTTATTGACACAGACATAAAAACTGGTGATGATTGTGTTTCTATCGGTGATGGTAGCAAGAATGTGGTCGTCCAAGGAGTAACCTGTGGGCCAGGTCATGGTATCAGCATCGGCAGTCTTGGAAAGTTCCAAGGTGAGGAACCAGTTTCTGGAATTAAAGTCTCGAAGTGCACCATCAGTAATACAATGAATGGTGTTAGAATCAAAAGTTGGCCAGCCTCCTATCCTGGCTCTGCATCGGACATGCATTTTGAAGATATTACCATGAATAACGTCGGCAATCCTATCCTTATTGATCAAGAATATTGCCCGTGGAATCAATGTGATTTAAAGGTACGTATTTATCAAAATACTGATCAAATGAAAAGCTTTACTCAATATTTAAAGCATTATTTTGTTTATCCAGATTCCATCACGTATTAAACTCAGCAACATCAGTTTCAAGAACATTCGAGGCACATCTTCAACTCAGCAAGCTGTCAAGCTTATTTGCAGCAGCGGTTTGCCATGCGAGGGTGTGGAGCTCGCTGACATTGATCTTACATACAAAGGACCTGAAGGACCCGCAATATCCTACTGTTCGAATGTCAGTCCCAAACTTACGGGCAAACAGAACCCGTCTGCATGCTCCGCCCCTGCCGGAACATCTATCCCGCTGGCTCATAAGTAGGAAACGATAAACCATGTTAATTAAACAATAAGGAAAGCATTTTTTGACTTCCTAATAGAGTAAAGTTTGCTTGAAAATAAAAGGAGAAAACATCTCCTTGGCATGCATATTTTACTCTGTTATGCTTTTAGCCTCATTTTAGAATTATGTTAATGTACAACTTTTTTTTTATATATAATTTATATAATTTCAAAATTTTGATACAAATTGTCTTTATTGACTTTTTCTTTCTTCTTTTTTTGGCTTATAGTCCTATCGTGATTAATTCTTTTGCAAAATCTTGAAATATATTACTATATATATAATTAGTCATACAAGTTAAAAAACCATTGATCAATGCACGTTGCTCAAAAATTATATATATCAATATGCAAAGAGAGTTTCCATTCTAAGAATTGATTTGGAAAGAACAAAAAAAAATTAGGCTTGAATATAAAAAATATTTCTAAACTAAAAATAAAAAAAATTCAAACTCTTATCTTTTCGTTATAATTAATCAAGTCATCAAATATTTATTTTCATCCAACTAAGTCCTTAACATTTATTTTTAGTTAACTGAACTCTCGATTAAATGAAAATTGATGATGGCAATTAACCTTTTTCTCTCCAATAAAAGCTCAATTGGATGAAAATAAATATTTGAAAAATCAACTGATGGTAATAAAAAGATATGAATTTGAATATTTATATAATTGTAATTTAGAGGCTTTTTATATACATCAACAAAAAAAATTCATATCAATATCAATTCTATATTCACTTAATTGATGACTTAATTATTCAAAACTTAATTACTACTTATGATGATTAAAATCTAAATAGTTAAATTTAAATGCTTAAAATTAAAAAAAGTTCAAATAATTAAATTTTTCTTAATGAATGTCATAAAGTATTTTTTCCCAATTACTATATTAAAGTAATTTTATTCAAAACATTACAACCACAACAACAAATCTAAATTCTTATATGCCTACCACTCTGAGACTAATTGTATGAAAGATAACAAATAGGGAATCATATTTAGGTCAAAAATTGAATCTTTTTATGCCATTCATTTTCTATAAAAAAATAACATTTTATTTACCTTTCTTGATTCTTATAATTTCTTATTGAATTTGTTTCCATGTCGTTGGGTAGCCTATATGGAGAAATTTTGGTCTTTCATAAATCTAAAAGCTTATTTCTCCTAGCTAGTACACAGATTAGGACATTGTGTTTCACATATCCAAATCATTTCAAACGGCCCTCTCTCTTCAATTATTGTTTTCTTAACAATCGAAACACTCAATTTTATATAGTAGCGTAGGCGCTTATAATTATTTTATACAACTTCACTTTTAACTTTAAATGCATGTTACGATCACATAACACATACGATGTATTTCATTACCACACTCATCTTACTTGAATCTTATGTTTTACATCCTTTTCTATCTCAATATCACTTTAAATTATTAATCCCAAATATAAAAATGACTACTTTTTGGTACTAGCTTACCATCCAACTTAATCACACTAGCATTCGCTTTCATATAATTACTAAACTTACATTTCATCTATTAAGTTTTAGATCTACTTAATTAAAAGCCTTAAGATTCTAGTGTATGCCTCCTTAATTCTAATTTCGCATTAAAATCATCATTACTTTCAACAACTAAGATTATATCATTGACAAATAATAGACACCATAGCACATTGTCTTGGATATATCTAGTGAACTCATCCATAACTAATGCAAAAAGAAATTAAATTAGTGCTAAGCCTTAATGCAATCTTGAGCTGTTAGCTTTGAATTGATATTTATTTTGAAATGACAGAACATTAACCTAAATAAAATTGATCAAGATTTTTGAAAAATATTTATTTAGTACATGTTCTTAAGTTTTACTATTTTGGTACTAAGTAAATAATTTGATTTTCAAAGTTTAAACAAAACTTTATTTATGTTTTTCTTAGTTCTAAAATTAAAAACTATCTTTAAACATTATTTATTTAAGTTCAAATGAAAGTCCAATTGTTGTTTTTAAGGTAAACTTATTTATTTTGTACTCAATACAATTTTGATAATATTGACTTTGAGAAATAGATTAACTTAAGAAAGTTATTTACAAGAACAAAGTTTTCCAACATTTAACTTGTTTTATCACAAAGCTTTAATATTTGAATTTTATATTGTTCGAAAAGCTCCTTGAGTCTACTTTCTAATGTATCAAACAAAATAAAATCCAAATTTTTCAAGAAAATATTTTGACATTTTACTAAACAATTTGCAGTCGTCTAAAAAACTACTCAATGGGTAATTTTAAAAATTCACTATAATTTCGTATTACAAAGTTTAGTTTTCAAAATCTTCAAATAGTTTGTTTATTGGAATTGTATAATTCAAGATATGATCAAATTAGTGAGTAGAGTGCAAAATAGGATACAAACCACCTAGCTCGACCAGATTGATCTCCTAAGTTACAAGATTGATCCCCTAGCTAAACCAATCGACCTTCTTTTACATTGGATCGATTGATTTTTCTTACAGAAATAAAATATATTGAAAAAACATTTAAAGGAATCGATCTTTTACAAAACGGGGATCAATCGAGTAAGACACAGAATCGATCCCCTATTAAAACCAATTGATCCCCTATACCTATAAAAGCTCAAATGGCTAGTTTTTCAAGCTTCAATGTTTTTTTTCAACTCTAAACCATCCCTATCTGGCCATCTCATTCATCCACACTAAAGAAAACAACACATCACACTTGTTTTTGTTTATATCTTCTAAGCAAAAAAAAAAAAAAAATTCCTTCCTTAAATAGGTTAGCTTCGCTTATTCCAAAATGCTACATTGGTACGCAAAGCATTAAACTTTTCTCTCTGAATTCCTCCTAGTCAAGTTAGTGTCCTTCATTTGTCAGCTCTCATTGTAATTTGCTTTTGTCAAATTTCCATTCTTTGATACTTCTAAGTTTCTAATGACCCATTTTTCTTTCAACATAAATGAGTGTTAAGTTAAATATAAATCTTTTTTGGCTTTTTGTTAATGTACAATGTGTGGTTGTGGGTTTTTCATTTTTTTATTTTTTGGGTTCTTGAAAAAGTTATTTGGCTTTTCTGGGAAATTTCTTGTATGATGTACCCAGCTACAAGTAAAGTTGAGTTCAAGCCATTTGTAAATTTAAAAAGTAATGCAAAGAGAAATTAGATTTTGATCCTAGTTTTTAGTTTGAAATTTGATTACTTGGGACATTTGCTAAGTTGTACTTTATCTTAGGAAGCTCAAGAACAAGAAAATGGATTATATTTATGATTTCAGTTTGTGGTTCTTGTCATAACATATAGATCCAAAAAGTTATAGCTAGACTTAACCTAAAGAGTCACCACCAATCTTTTTTAACTAGGTGTAATTGGTCACCTAATGAATCTATTCTTTTAAGTAGCTTTTAAGCTTGACTAAGGGTCTTTAAACGAATAGGTTCTGACCTTCTAAACAAAATTAGGTTTTGAGAGTTTAATTACATATGGGAGAAGGTTATAACACTTCTACAACTCCCATCCTAAGATGGTACCATTTAATTTTAAATTACCCTAACAATTATCTTGGTTTTAATGGTTTTTATTTTAATGTTTAAATATTGGAAATGACTTCTAAGATTTCTCTATCAATATGATAGAATTTTTAAAAATACTTCATCACCTCAAGAGTTTTAAGAATCTTATTTGTTTTCTTGAAAGGCTTTGTCGTCTGAAAAATGTTCAATCATTTTTTTATTTTCAAAATATTTCTAATTCATCCTCCATTTAGGCCAAAATTAGAAATATCTTATCACTTAGAAATTTTTTTAAATAATCAACCATTTACCATTACTAAGAATTCCATCCTCGAAATTTATTTTTTATTTTTCCATTTCTAAATTTTCCATCATTTTAGTCAATTTAGATTTTTTTTTATTTGCTAAATTTTTTGCCATTTGGGTCTATTTAAATTTTTTTGTATCTTTGAAAAGAAAATAATATGAAAATTATTTTTTAAAGTTTCATTTAAATTCTTCCACAATTTGAGACAAACTTAAAGAAATTTCTTAGTTAGAGACTTCTTAGAGAATTTACCATTTAAAATTTTTAAGATTCTCATCATTGGATAATTGTCAAATATTTAAAAAAACTCATTATATTTGGGAAATGATACAATTACTTTTATTGAAATTTCATCTAAATTATTTCACCATTTGGGACAAATTTAGAGAAATTCTCACCTAGGGATTTCTTAAGAAATTTACCATTTGAAATTTCTAAAAATCTCATCATTGGGTAATTAGTATTTAATTTCAAATTTTTTACTAATTTTTTATTTTTTTATTTTTTTAAAATTGAAACAAAATATTAATTATTATAATTGAAACTTTATCTAAATCATTCCACCGTTTGCGATTAAATTAGAAAAAAATTTCTCATTTAAGAATTTTATAAAAATTTACCATTTTAAATTTCTCAAAATTCTATCATTGGATAGTTAGTATTTGTTTCCAAAAAAAATTATTTTTTTATATTTTCTAATTTTTTCAAATTTTTTAAAAATTTAATCATGAGAAAATACTTTAATAAATAAGTAAATAAAAACTAAAACTGAAAAATGGCTCAACTCGACTTGATTGTAGGCAAGGAAACAAGCTGGAACGACGCAGCTCAACTCGGTTGGAGACAAGGACAAGGACTTAGGTAGAAAATTGGTTAAGCGTTATGGGTTGGGTCACCCACTAGAAAACATATGGATCTTAGGTTTCTTAAACGCCCAAAACGAGATCGTTTAGTATAAGTAAAAAGACCAACTTCTTGCTTTTTCTATCGATTTTTCTTTCTCTCCCTTCTCATTTTCTCTTTTCTCCTCTCTTTTTAGAACCCAAAGAATGCCGGTTGAATCTTCATCGGATTCTAGAAAACTCACCGAAAATCTAGGTTGAGTCACTGAAAGTTTGTCGAAAAATTCAATCTTCATGGGGATCTTCAACCGAATTCTGGAAAACTCATTAAAAATTTAAATGTC